ACGATGACAAGGAGGAAGAAGATATGAGGGGGAGAAAAAGAAAAAGAAAAGAAAAGAAAAATTGTCGGGGGCTTACCTGCGCGTCGTCGATGGCAGCGGCAGTGGTAACCATGACGTGGCAGCGGGTACGAGGGAATGTTGATGATGATGTGGCAGTGACGACGGCGACGAGGTAACGACGATGTCGATGACGTGGCAAATGACGGCGACGATGATGACGTGGCAGCGACGGCGACGAGGTCGACGGCGATGATACTGAACCAAGGCGGGAGGGAGGGCCGAAGCCGCTCTGATAACAGTGTGATTGGGCTGAGGCAGAGCAGCGAGGTCGGGGAAGAGAGAGGGAGGGAGTGAGAGCACACACACACACACACTCACTCAACTCGACACAGACTCGACACGACTCAACGGACACGGACACAAAGTGGCAAAGTGGCAAAGTCACAAAGTCGCAAAGTCGCAATCTTGGTTTCGTACACAATGTCGCAGCAAGTCACACTGAAGCACAAGCACTGAGACTGAAAACTGAGTCCCCGAACTTAGCTTGAGTCCGGTCTTAAGTTCCGGACTCAAGTTGAGTCCGAGGGCAGAAGTGCAATTTGCCTCGAGGCTGAACTAAAAATTGAAGGTCTGAGGCTGGGCGCCAGAATGTCGGATGGCGCCAAGTATCGAAGTTCGACAGTACCAGAGGAGGGATTTGAGAACGGGCGCCAATTGCAGAGGGCGCCAACATTTAGGAACCGGAGATTAGGGACTCGAAAAAAAAAAAAATAGCAGTCTAGCGGGTGTAACCGATCGAGCCCTGGCTGTGTCCGTAACAAGTCTCGCCACACATCTTGATCCAAACCCACCCTCACCCAAGTAGTCTTGTTGGGGTTTTGGGTCTGCCCTTGACTCTTTGGTTGACCGCCCTTGTCGCAGCCACCTGCCTTAACTTTTAACAACGCGGTGAGGCTGCTACCCTCAGCTAACTCCTCGTCATCCAACTCTGAGTCATCCACAAGGTCGGATACATCATCAATCTCAGTTTGATTCCCATCAAAATCAACCATCATCAATCGACTACCCTTTTTCTTCCACTATTGTAGACTCTTCTTCTTTCTTCCATCAGTAGAGGGTTGTTGAGCTCCTCCTAGCGTAGCCTCGTAGTATAGGGCTCTCTTGTTGAAGGAATCCAACGTGTGATACTCGATTTTGGCCTCACTGACCAACAAGTTCTTGATGTCTGTGGGAAGACATCTCAAAAACATGGTCAATAGGACATGTGGATCATAGCGTACTCTAGGGACCACAATAGGACGCTTTACGGCAGAGGTAAGTTCGCGCACGGTCTTGTACTTCTTAGTATCAAGTCGGGCCAACGCATCAGTGGTCTGTTGGGCCTGCTGCAGGTTGTGTCATCGCGCTTCTACCAACTCCATAAAACTCTCTAGAGTATGGGTCTTCGCTCAATCACTCATGTTTCTGCCGAATCCCTTTGAAGCCACTAAACCATCTAACCATCGCGTTGTCGAACCTTCCAGATAGGATGCGGCAGTGATCGCCTCTTCCTCTACCAGCGTCCTCTTTACCTTGACCCACACCGAAACCGTTCTCAACCAAGTGTCAAGAGCCTCATCCTTCTTATCACCTGAGAAGGTTCAGGGTGGTTTCAGTGGAGGTTGTTGTTGTCCCACTGGTGGGACCAACTGTTGTCTAGCACCAGCCGCTGTTTCATAAGCTGAAGAAGGAACAATATGTGCTGCTGCTGCTGAATTACCGCTTGGTGAACTGCTAAACTGAGACACAGTAGGACTAGTCATCACCGGTGAGGAAACCGACGATGGGAAAACTGGAGGCCGGAAACTGGGGCCACCTGTTGGAGATGGGAAGGCTCTTCCCATTCCTTGCATGGTGCTCAGTATCTGGTCAAGGGTGTTCTGGATAGCATCCAGTTTGCTGTCCATGTATGCATGCATGGACAGAAGACCTGCCTTGAGGATTCGTGTGTTGTCATCAATGACAGCGTCATCTAACCCTTCTACAGCAGCTTTGACTGCCCTCCTTTCTTTTCTAGCTCTAATCTCATTCTCCTTTTCAATAGCTTCTCTAAGTTCCTTCTCTAACCGTATGCGAACAACTCCACTTGTTGGAGCTCAGTGGCTTCCCTAGTGGGTGGAGGTGGCGAGTTGTACTATGAGCCTGCCATCGGACTGGAAGAACTGCTTGATGCCACTGTGCTGGATGTGGTATGCGAAGTGTGCGGCATGCCTGCACTCATCTGACTAGATGTAGCTGCTGAGGTAGCAGCAGAAGTAGCCATAGCTGCTACAGTGGCTGTTGCCGCTGCAAGCGTTTGCTCGGGTGCTGCTGCCGCTTCTCTAGCCCTTTGTAGGCATTCGACTACTGCTTCCTGTCACAAAGCCCTCTCTCCCCCAGGGGGTAAAGCTTGGTGCACAATGGGGATCCTAAGGGACTCCTGACGTGTCACCCTCCTTCCTGCAGATCTGTCCTCACCACTGCCTGGTCCACTCATCAGCTAGGCAGACATTGTTTGCATTAATACCCGCTCTGGAGCCTACCACAGCGTGTGTCTGACCGAGTTGAAAAATAAATAAAAATAAATAAATATTTGGTAAGTTGCCTAGGCTACTGTTCAAGAAGTATCAACAACATTCACACAAACTGTACACATGATCTATTCCTACCTTGATTAGTTTCGTTCACAACAACTTCGATCAGAACTGGCTATGGTAGAACACTAAAGTACTAGTCTAGGCTGTCTGTTAGGTGTCAACAGTCAGTCCACCAACTAATCAAAAATAAAAATAAATTATGTGAGCAGATGTATGCACAATGGGTATTTTTGTGGTTGACAGTTGAGCCTCAATTGGAATCTCCCTCCCCTGTATCCAATGTGCCTGTCCGCATCATCAAGCAACGATGTCTAAGGTGTGCATTAGGCCTCAGAAATATGCTTATGACCAGAACTGCCTTTTTTTTATCCTCGCGTGCAACGAGTCATACTTCTGACTGATTTGGCTGATCAAGAGGCAGTTTAAGGACAGCCCCCAAGGTCCTCAGGAATGATTTAACGTCGCAGACAGGATGACGATCACAGCCAGTGGACAGTTCAGAATCGCGCCAGAAATATTTATAGACGGTTTGGTAAGCGTCTGCATAGGACTGGTCAGTCCGCACACCCCTCTATCAGCGCAGCAAAGAGCCTTAAAAGACAAAGCAGCATGACCTGTGTGTACTACTCCCATGGGTTGGCATGGTGACCGTGACCCGTGCTTCGACCAGGGGCCTTCAGAGGCACCGCCCTCTCCTGCCAGATTCGCCACTAGGTCGAATGTTGTCTCTCGAGGTAGAGCGCTCACGACTCCTCATGAAAAGAGGACACTCAAGGTTGGACTCACTTCCTCACGGTAAGAAGAGATTGAGAGGTTGGGAACAACGTACTTGGAGATAGCTGCCCCCAACCACAGATTTCTCACCAATTGAGCCAATGTGCATTTCGATGACCAGTCGTCGCTTTGGTGACCCACAACGCAATGCAGTGACACCTCAGCCAAAATGCCACATCAGCATGCTCTCATCATCATACATAGATCCGTTGTTGCCACAGCCTTCCTGCGACTCACCCCTCTACCCGGGTGTCGCACATTAAGCCAGCGCCAATGTATCCTCACTGCACAGAAGCATCACCAGCGCACCAAGTAACAATGTCGCCGGCGGCAGATAGACGATCTCGAACCAGCTCCAATACCAAATTGCAAGGAATATGAGTGAGAGCGATATACAGAAAACCAAGTTGCAAAATCACGCAGATGTCCAGATAGTCATGCACAAGCAGAGAGCTCAAATGCACCAAGATTCCATCCAAATAAGAGCAATACAATGAACTCGTGAGCCAATGTTCAAGGCCTCAGGCCACACCAACACAGTATTCAATGCCGCTCCTCTCTGTCTGGCGCCCGGTGTCCAACCTAGTCTACTTGCCTATCTATCCTAACTACGTTCATACAACAGGCTCAGTTCGACTTCGAAGACAAATGTACATGTCGTCGACACCAATGCCGACCTCCCACGTACACCAGGTACGTAATTTCATCTCCCCTCATCACCCCCTGACATCCACTCTCTGCACCTCCTCCTGAAGACCCCCCCTGTCGCCCTTCACCTGCCTCGGGCCCTGCAGCCCGGCTATGGCTGCTAGCGCGCCGCTGCCCCTGCAGCACCCTCTCCGCGCCCTCACGCGCCCTGGCCCAGGCTAGCGCATGCAGCCACCCGCTTGCTAGTGCAGCAGCGTGTCCGCAATGCCTGCATTGGCCAGCATGCCTCTCCCTGGCTGCCCTCCTTCCTATATGGAAGTGGCAGCCTTTGCTGGACTGTGTGGGCCTGGCCGTGGAGGTTTCCAGTAGCTTCCGGTCAGGCCCCAGTACCTGCGCCCAGGCCCTTCTTCAGCAGCTGAGAGTCTGGACCCTTTGCAGTTGGGCAGACCCAGTATTTTCCAGACTCTGACTGTTTGCTGCATTTGCACAAGTCCACCGGCAGGTATGACGACAATGCTGCTTTCTCGTTGACCCGCGGCTGCTTTTTGCTGTCTCGGCCTCAAAAAATGTGTGCCCAGGGCTCAATCACCAGGGCCCTGGGCTCAACTGCCCGGAGCAGTTGCTTCCTCTGGACGAACCCAGGATGGGGCTCAGATTGTTTCTTCAACCAACTGTCGTGCAGCAGCTGGCTGAGACCCGTATTGGAAAATGCTGAGAAAAGGGCCTCTCGTGAATAATCAGGCCCGCCTTCACTTAGGGCAGGCACGAGGCTGGCTGGGGGTCCTACAGGCAGAACATATGCATGTTGTCTAAGGGCCCCTGAGGATAAATTCCTCAAATAAAAGATTAGTACAGCGAAAGCAAACTTAGTGAAGCTTAAAAGAACAAAAATTTATAGCACGCAAATATAATAATATATATTCGCTGAATGTCTGCCCTGTTTTCTGTCATGCTGAACTGCAGGTTGCAGAAATCTCTCGTGTGCTTAAACCTGGCGGAATATTTGTCGCATCCACATTCCTGGCAACGGCCGTCCCCGAGCTTGAGGAAATCGGGCTAGCTATTCGCCAGGTGCGCATGTTGAAACTTTTTTTTTTTTTTTTAACAGTAGTTTATGATGGGAATGATTTTACAGCTATTGCTGCTCGTTGTTTTTTAGTATCTGCTGTCGACTGCTAAGCGGTTCATGCAACTTGATGCAAGTTGCTTTCCTTTTTTTTTTTTTTTTTACAAGTTGCCTTCCTTTCTGTGTGGACTTGTCATCTTGATGTCGATACGTTTGTTTTAGTACAATCTTACTTCATTTATTGCATATGTCGATCGTTTTGAAACGGTTTTCACCTTTGCAGAAGCTGATGCAGATCCCAGGGTTCGATCCCTAGACCTTACCTGCACCTGTATCGAGTAGACCCCTGTGTGTTTTGAGCCCGCGACCTGTGTTCTAGTAGTGACTGTTCTTTGTCGTTAGTCCCTATAGTTGTAGGTATTCGATCGGTAGATCTGTCAAGTAGGGGTTACAGTTGTGTAGAGGTCGAAACTGCTAGGCTAGAGGTCTGTAGGCAAGTCATCAGTCCAACTGCGTCGAGTCGGCAGTGCAACCCTGTGCAGTCAGCGGTACCGGTCCCAGTCAATCGCAGTCCAGTCAAGCAAGTACCGTGTGGGACTGTGTGCACCAAGGGCCTGGAGGAAAGGGGCAGACCAGCGACCAACAGAAGTATAAATCAAGAGGCAGCGTCCGACAATTCATTCATTCGCTGCATAAGCCATGCGGAAGCGCTGTCCCAGCGTCTTGTGCGAGGTGGTCTGCAGAGCGCCCGAAGTCGAAGTGGGCTGGAAGAAGATAGCGTAGCCATAGTTAGTAGTTGAGCGGCCAAAGCCGCTGTAGGTAAAAGAGAGGCGTATGTGAATGTATGTGGGGTATTCAGGGTGATCCAGAGTTGAGTGTGTGCGAACAGTGGTGTTGGAAACAGTATCAAGAGTTGGGATGTACAGGCGCTGATGCGCCATAGCCTGTTGAAGCAAGTCTGCGTCTGAACTGTGTTCTCGATTTCCATATCTCTGAGTTTTGAGCGGGCGCTGTGCACCAGTGTGAATCGCCATCTGTTTGCATGTATGTGAAGCGAAGAAGAAAGCGAATCTGATTTCATTGGTATCGGAGCTGGTTCCTGTACTCCACGCGTCATCGCTGTTGTTAATAGTCAGGCGCCATAGCTGTAGTTGCGCCAACGAAGGAGGATGGTCCACCATAGATGCGCCGAAGAAGGAGGGTGCCGCGAACCTGCACAAAAGACAACGATGAGGAGAGAGAGAGAGAGAGAGAGAGAGAGAGAGAGAGAGAGAGAGAGAGAGAGAGAGAGAGAGAGAGAGAGAGAGNGAGAGAGAGAGAGAGAGAGAGAGAGAGAGAGAGAGAGAGAGAGAGAGAGAGAGAGAGAGTGAGAGAGGCAGACAGAGAGAGAGAGGAGTGATACAAGATTGTTGTGCGGTCTAAGGAGGAAGGTGGCGGTTATAGCCGCCGAGCTTGGACACGGAGAAGACGAGTAAAGAAGAGAGAGAAGGGACGAAGAGATGGAGAGGTTGAAGAAAGAAGAGGAGGAGAAGCTTAAAGAAGTAGAAGAAGAAGAAGAAGAAGAAGAAGAAGAAGAAGAAGAAGAAGAGATACCCCTGGTGAGGCCTTTGAGGAGAGAGGAAAGAGGGGAATCAAGTGGGACCAGTGAAGATGAGAAGAAACTGAAGAAGATGGTGTCGGAATTGGTGGCTAACTTATTCCTAGGGGAGGATGAAGAAGCGTTGATGTACATTCCCTAGGACAAGAGGGATGCTGTTGTGGCAGAGATAAAGGCCTTGACAGACCCGTTAGAGCAGCAAGCCCTGGAAGAGGAGAAAATAATGGAATGGAAATTGCAACTGAGGAGACAGAGAAGGAGGCACATAGCGGCGGCTACTGAGTTAGAGAAGGAATTAGCTGCCGTAGCAGAACAGCATGCGCCGGCGCTGACACAGGACCACTTGCAGAATAAGTTGGATGCAATCGCAAAGAGTATAGATGTATTGATTAACGTCCAACAAAAGCAGATGCATACCTCAAGGGGCCATGACATAGCCCTAGGATATAGAGACTTTGCCCATGATATGATGATGCGGATGGGGTCGGTGATGCAGGCCCGTATGAAGAACACAGAACAATTTTGTGTTGGCGCCATAGAGGGCACTAAGCTCGGTTCTCCGAAGGAGGAGGAGGCACGCCCACGTAGGGAAACAATAAAGGTAAAGTTTCCTGATGCCTACAGCGGGAAACAAGGAGAATATTTCGATAATTGGGAGGCAATCATTAACTCCTACGTGCACGTCCAGGATATTATCCTTGAGGAGCAAGTCCTCGTCGCATTCCACGCCCTTAGAGACGAAGCGTCCAGCTTCGCCAGGTCGTTAGCCCGCGCCGCCAAATGTGACAATGACATGGTGGCATACTCCACCATCAATTCCCCTCAGTGAATTCCTAAAGTTAATTCGCGAACGTTTCGCGGATGTAACTAAGGGAATTAAGGCCTCAGACAAGCTCCAGACAAGCTCCAGACAATCCACACACGACAGTGGAAGAGTGCAAGGGCCCTCAACGGGGCCATGGATGAGCTTGTCGCGATTCCAAACCATGGGGTCATTGAGCCACAGTTGGTTCAGTTGTTCTATTGTGCGATGCTCGAAAGTTTGCACGGGCATTTCTACGACAAGTCGCGAGAACAAGGGATGACATATGATAGGTTGAATCGCGACGTCGTTGCGTATGTCACTGAGGCCCAGTCCACGCCAGTGAAAGCTTTTTGGCACAGAGATTTTGACAAGGGTAAGAAGTGGAAGGGCCAGACCATTTCAGGGCAGGTTAAGGGGAAAGATTAGGCCCAGTTCGTCTTCGTCTGGAGCGCCTGTTCTGTTTGTTCCCAGAAAGGAGGGAGAGTTAAGAATGTGTATAGACTATAGTGGTATCAGCGCCATCACAGTGAAGAACGCAGAACCACTGCCTCGGATAGATGATTTGCTGGATCGAGTGCAAGGCTGCAGATACTTCTCTAAGATAGATTTGAAGTCAGGCTATCATCAGATAGCGGTCCATCCTGATGATCAGCACAAGACGGCGTTCAGGACCAGATACGGGCACTATGAGTTTAATAGTTTATAGTGATGCCCTTTGGACTAACCAACGCGCCAGCTACGTTTCAGCGCTGTATGAATGACTTGTTTAGGGCGTGGTTAGATAGATTTGTAGTTGTATATCTAGATGACATCTTAGTATTTAGTAAGACCCTCCAGGAGCATGAGGGCCATCTAAGGCAAGTCTTGGGGAAGTTGAGAGAAGCTAACTTCAAGATCAATGCGAAGAAGTGTGAGTGGGCCAAGACACAGGTTTTATACCTGGGCCACGTCCTAGATGGAGATGCCATAAAGCCTGAGGACAGTAAGATAGCAGCGATTAGAGATTGGCCGACTCCCCGCACACTGACAGAGTTGCGGTCGTTCTTAGGGTTGGCAAATTATTATACAAAGTTCGTCAGGAACTTCTCCACCATTGCTGCTCCCCTTCACAAGTTGCTTAAATTTTTTCTAAATTTGACTTGTTTCGCCTCTCGAGGAGGTTGTAGGAATAGGTGATATCTGGCAATTCATTTGTGATCCTGCGTAGGGTGGCTGCAAATTTGGTGGCCCTCGAAGACCGATGCTGGAGCAACGCTGGCCGGAGCCGGAGCCAGGTGGCGCAACTCTGTGACCTAGCTTAGTGGGGGGGTGAGGCCTGGTAGA